GGTCTGGGCCTCCCTTCTGAAGCTGCTGCCCCCGCGACCCGACCCCGGATAGGCGGAAGAAAATGGATGGATGGAACACAATAATTGTTCCACTTGATCTATTGTATTGAAGTCTGGGGGAAAGCATGTAAATCAATTATAAATTCTATTTTTATTTTACAGAAAAGAGCTAGAATTATCACCAGAAAGCATTACAATCACCCATCAAATATATTATTTTATCAGTTGAAATTATTAAAATTTTATGAGTTGGTTGATTATAATATTCTGCAGGTTATGTATAAGGCTCATAAAAAATTTTACCTTTAAATTTCCAATTAAATTTTGTTAAGAGGGAAATTTATTATAACCTTAAGAGGCTAGAAATGTTTGTAAAACTTAAAATTCAAACAAATTTGAAGGACCGATGTACTTCAGTCCAGGAAATAAGATTGTGGAATAACCTGGAAAGTGGTTTTAAAAATGTTGGTTCAATGTATTTTTTAAAGAGAATGACAGAAGTTAGTTTGTTAAAGAAATGTGAAATTGTATAATTCCTATTCATAAGAGCTGTTGATCGAGAAGTAGATGTTTTTGTTGCTTGATTATTTTTTAGAAAATAGGGGCAGATGTAAGATTTTTTCATCTTTCTGCTGCCTTTCATTTTATTTATGATTTGCAGTTTTTGTTGTACATAGAATTTGTTTTCTTTTTAATTGAAATTAATTTAAAAAAACTGCAAGATGTGTTTAGTTCTCATAGTATGTGATGTGGATAAATCTTAGCTACTGCCACACCAAAACTTAGCATCTTATAATTGGCTGAGCTAAAAAAAACAATGGGCTGTAGCAGCCATCTTGAATGGCATTGAAGACCATTAGTAGTACAATGATTACTTTCTAGAGTTTTTATTAAAAACAGTCTAGTGATTTATGTTTGTGCTTTCTCTGACCAATTGCCTTGCGCAGACTCTCCAGCTCCTCCTGCTGCTGATGGAAGGAGCTCTGCTGCACTTTGGCCTGCAGGATCTGCTCCTCCTCCGCCTTCAGCTCGTACTGCTGCTTCAGCTGGCGGTACCTGCAGCAAGAGAGGAGATGGACGGATGATGATACGGGAGAGTCAAAAATAAGTGACACAAGGAAGTTTCTGCAAACAGTGGAAAGTGTCAGTGTTGTTGATTATCGCACATATCAGCCTTCACTTTAGGCTTAAAAACATACTCAGACCTATTTCTAACTATGACATCCCACCTTATTTTCATGCTGCGTATTAGTGCCAAGTAGAGCCGATAAACCATTGATGAGGATCTTAACATGTATTTCACATTTAAAGTTTAACAAAAAAAGTCTTTTCAACAAATGCAGGCATTTTCAAATGTGCGTACTTCTCAGCGGTTCCCTTAAGGCTGGCTAGTTGTTTTTCTATGTCTTTCAGCTGAGCCTCCTTATCATTCAGATTGTCCTGGACGTCCTTCACCTCCTGCAGGCTGGACAGAACCGACGCAGACTGGGAGCGGGCACCTAGATGAGAATGACAAAGAGCTTTTCCTCGGAGTACTTGTACGCAACTATCGAGTTCGTTTTACGAAAGTTTACGTATGCTGAAATCATAAAACTAGTGGAAAACCGTAGTCTTTGCAACTTTTGAATTCAATTTAGAACAGTTTTGTTTACTCTCCCCCTGAGCACACAGACATGACGAAGTTCTCATTCTCACCTCCGCTCAGAGTTCCCTGCGGGTCGAAGATGTCCCCCCCAAGAGTGACCGTCTTGGTCATCACCTGCTTATCAAAAGCCACTTTTTTGGCATTGTCCAGGGTGTCACAGACCAGAGTGGAGCCGAACACGTACTCCATGGCTTTTCGCAGGTCTGACTCGTAGCCGACGAGAGACAGAGCTGTGTGAGCATTGTTCTCTCCAACCTGACCGATAAAAACAAAGACAAGAAAGAGAAAATACCTGATTACATACTCCCAGTTTTCTCCACACAAATAAATGATCCCGATTAAAAAATAAATAAAAAAGAAAACTAACCGCCCCTTACCAAATTCTTGGCAGTTTTGACAACTTTGTCGTTAAGCGTCCTGGCAGAGATCTTGTTCAGAGGAATGATGGTGTACCGTCGCTGCAACTCGCCCTTCTCCAGCAGCTTTTTACCAGTCACCTGAGAGATGAATACGTTGCCTTGGGTTTACACCGCCTCAGTGGTCAAAGATGAGCCGCACAGCACCCGACTCGTTTACCTACCTCTGTGTCAACAACGATGTTGTAGAGCCGTCCGCCGGCAACGACCTCCAGAGCTGTGGAGTAAGTCACGTCGCTGACTGTGATCAAGTTAGCAAGCAGCCCTTTCACTTTGCTGCGGTCCCACCCTCGTTCAGGATCCCTGAAACAACAGACACATATTAACACGTATTAAACCACAGCTCGATCAGCTCAGTTAAAGTGTCCAGTGACATCATCTTTTATCAAGCAAAGAAATGTCCTGTTCTGTCAATATTTTATAAAAGTAAAAACACAAACATCTGTTCAGAATGCAGCCTCATCTGTCAAAAACATCACTTAAACACATAACACTGAGACTTTAGAAACATTAGCAAAATGTTTCATGATAGACAGATTTTGTTGAAACTCCCAGAAAGTAGTCACACCTATAACTTTTGGCATCAACCCTACTCAAGATGGCCACCACAGCAAAGACCCTTAGGATCAATAAGAAACACCAGCATGTTCTTGATATGATCTTTCTAACATGTTTGATGTAAAAGTTCTTACTTGTAGTCAAAGCGTAGGTTGGGGAAACGTGACATGAGACGCTCATAGGTCTCCTTGAGTTGATCGACCTCCCGGGAGAGCTGCCTCCTTTTTTCAAGCAGACTTTCTTCTTTTCCATCTGGAGCAAAAAATAAATAAATCAAGTTATTCTTAAGTCATAAAGGGACAAAATAAAAACAGAAATAAGGTACATGTTGGTAATAAACAAGAATGCACAGTACCTTCATAGTTAAGTTTAGCCAGCTCAGCCTGCAGCTTCTCTCTGTTGTTTCTGATGACCTGCAAGGCATCCTGGTCTTTTTTGTATCCACTGTCCATCTTTTTCACCTCGGCCTGTTTGGACTTCAACTCAGCCTGAGCGTGTTTTAGAGTCATTTGAGCCTGGACAGAGAAAAAGCAGAAATTTTGATAAAGCTAATGATTTTACAGCTGCTTTTTCCTCATTCATTTCTAGACGATAACACGTTTTTTTTATTTTTTATTAAAATGCTCACCTGCTTGGCCTCGGTGTCTGCCTTGCTCATGTCATTCTTACAGGCCATCATCTGCCCGGCGAGCGTGGCCTCCTCGCCGTCCTCGTTGGTGGAAAGACCAGCAGACACGGCTTTGAAGTGCTGCTCGGCCGCTTCAAACGCGGCATTGTCCTTCTGTCCTTCCTCCTGAACAGCCTGAAGCTGCTCTTCCAGCTTAGAAACCTCTTTCTCCTTCACCACAAGCATTTTCTTATCCTAGGGATTCAAATCAAAATGCTTTGATCGTATGATTTAATTAATCGAGGGTTTTAATCAGAGCTCAGCAGAATTTGTCTATCAGGTACCTCCTCCATTGTCTTCACAAGCTCCTTTCTCTTCTTAGTTTCATCTTTGAGATTCTGTTTCTTTAAGTCCAGGGCACTCTGAGCTTTGGCATCCACACGCTGCACTTCAGCTAGAGCGTCCTCCAAGGATTTTAATACTCCGTTCACTTCCTTGAAATGAGCAGATCGACATAAAAATGTAAGCTATACAGCTTTACTTTTCCTGTACTATTATCTAAGTAGTTTGTACAAACTAACAAGTGAAAACGTGCACACCTTTCAAATAGATTTATAAAGTTTTAGAGGACAACAAACACTCTTAACTCAACACAAAAAAAGTTAAACACTTAAAGGGTTCAAACAATTATTATCCTCTTTTTTTCCCTTCTTCTTGCATACCTGGTCTCTTTTCTTCTCCAGCTCCTGAATCTGGGCTGAGAGCTCCTGTATTTTGCTCTCGTTCTCAGCCATGCTGGCCTGCATCTTGGCGATGTTATCCTGCATCACCTTCAGGTTCTCGGCTGACTTCAGCTTGGTCTCCTCCGCACAAACGAACAGCCAGGCCACGTAAAGCCTTGACAAGTGCTGGATCTCACGCATCAGCTTCTGGTACTCCAAATATGAGGACCGTTCCTGAACAATAAAGAAAGATTTAAAGTTTTTTTTTTTTCTTAATTTATTTGCTGCACAGAAAAAACTATAAAAGGGGGATATGAGCTCAAATGTAAAGTTAATTTACCTCTTGCAGCTTTTGCATAGTTGGAGTAATTTCTTCATTCAGAATCTAGACAAATGAAACCCAACAGTTAGTTTGTTCCAAAATAAGTTCACTGAAAAATAAAAGAAAGAGATAAAGACAACTGTGGATGTCATACAGTCTGAATCTCCTTCAGCTTTGCCTCCTTCTTTTCTATAGTCTTCTGGGCACTGATCTTCTTGCATTCGTACATCCTGGTGCCCGCTGCTTCCTCAATCATGGCAAGAATCTGAAGAAAAGGAGTTGATCATCATTAAGCACACAAAACATTTATTTTTTAGTACAACTTAGACAATATTTATTGTGTTTTTACCTCTGGTGGTTTCATATTTAGAACTTTGGTGATTCGTCCCTAAAACGAATTGCAAACATAAAATTAAAGCCTACTCACAAATCAAATTGTTGGAGAATAAAAGGTTAAAGATGTAAGGCTGACCTGCATGATGAGGAAATGTGGATTGTTGACATTCAGTCCAACAGAGCAGAACAAGTCCTGCACCCTGGTGTTGGTGGCATTGACTCCATTGATTAGGTACTTGTTCCTGCCACCTATCACCACCTGGGAGAAAGAAATTGTATGATTATAAAAGAAATTGGCTCCTAAGTGTGTTTAAAGTCTTGTGGTTTTGTTCTTACTTGTCTGGTGACAGTGATCTCGTCGTGGGTTTCAAAGCCCAGAGGACTCTGGCTTTTGTTTGAATTGTCAAAAGTGATGGACACTGTGGCCTTGGTGATACCCCCCTGTCCATTTTTATACACCAAATCCTGAAGGTTGGAGGCTCGCACCTTAAAGCGTGAAACGAAACAAAAGAAGTGTAAAGTCGATGCGACTTTTCAAGCTTTATACTATATATATA